CTGCATTGCATTACAAAACAAAATCCAAGTGTTTTAGCATCTGTCAAGAGCCTGCATGTGTGCAGCGTTAAAGATTGTAGATTGGTGGTATAATCGTTCTTGGATGAGACGGTCGTATCAAAGTTTCAAGGCGTAATGATGCTGATTCTTATTTTAGGACTTTGAAACTGAATACAGCATCTTTGCATCTAATGGTAAAGGACAAATGAATTCGCCACACTTGATTGTTCAGTGTGCAAGTGTGATGGCACATTTACACTAAAACTATGCACAGATCCTCTGCTAATGAAGCTTTTGGTGGATGCAGTTGGGTTTTTTTTAAAGGTCATCAGAGATGAGTATGAACCTTTATTATTATTGACATCTAAGATGCAAGTGCATTATACTGTGCAGACTTGGTTTGAAGTGTTTCACTTTTGCATCATTTTAATACTAAGAGGGTGTGGATGTAATTAACTGGTTCAAATTAATATGTGAAGGAAAGAAAGGTGACTCTTTCATCATAACTCTCTGCAATTTAGTGAGCGACATAGGCATAAATGCAGGTATGAAAACAATCCTCTAGCAAGTCCACGATGAGCTTCCCTGATATAAAATTGCTTAAATATGGAATGGTTATGGAATTAGCTTGCTATAGATCTGTTAATGATTCATAGTTTGTGTATCAATCAAATGCAATTGTTAAGAAAATACCTGCACAAAGCATAAAAGCTGCATCTCAACCCCTTGGTAAAAAAGGAAATTGAGGATAATGAAATGTTTCTCAGATGAAGGATTGTGAGGTGTTATTTTAGGGTCAGTTTACACCACACCGAAAGACGGCAAACAATGTGGAAAATCGCCAGATTACATGAAGTTACTGCAGAGACAAACACAGACTGAACATGTGCATTTGGCAAAAACAAGCCAAGAACAATTTGGTATCTGTGCAGTGTGAACTTGAACTGACTCGTAAACGTTTGAATGCGGTTCGTAAAAGGTTTGATGCAATTCATTTTAAGATGAATTTTGCTAGATGCTAAGGGCTGAGTAAAAGTGTAGACATTGTAATAAAGTAAATGTATTGTGAAAGTATGCGGGATATGCAGATTATATATTTTTTTTCAGCACTAACCTGAAGAGGCAGATGGTGTGTTTAATTGTATCTTTTGTTAATGTGTCATGTTTATTGCGAAATGTGCTTGTTTGTAATGAGGCAACAAACACATGAAATGCTGAGTGTTGTGTTTAAAGCAGATTTAAGCGTTGTGTCATATTACTCAGCTCCTACTGTATTATTTCTGGAGTGAAGGAACAGCAATACACTTTATTAAACGTCTGTTTATGCAGAGGTTGATATTAATTCCTGGCTGTGTTTACATTTATATAATAGCTTCAAAATACAAAATTTACCTCCGTTAGTCTCTTTTGTTGAGTTTAATTATAATTTAGCCTATCCACTTGTTAAGTGTGACATCGGGTCCAAGCGCTCTCATATCAAACTGTATGTAGAGACTCATCAAATGATAATAATAAATGTTTACAAAGTGCTTTAATACTTTTGAAAATCACGCAATTTTGAAAATCATCGCAATATATATATGTATGTATATATATATATATATATATATATATATATCGAAGCCTAATATCTGATGGCCAGAAAGTGATCATTTTTTTAGAAATTGTTAAAATTTTGGTATTTGTGATGCAGCAAGGCCAGATAATGTTGTGTACACAATCATTTTATTTAAAATTCAATTTAATATGTGGTATGACTAAAAGTGGGCATACACAAATATTTTCTCAATTCGAATGAGTAGCAGCTTGGTCCTGGAAACAGTTTTTTATACGTCACCGATACGTCATGACTTCACAAGCAGATACTTTATCCACAACACAACTAGAGGGGAAAAAGGTTACTCTGTTGGTTTAAATCAAATAGCTCACTCACTTCTAGCTAAAGTAAACCTCCAAAGTTAAAACCTCTAAATTTAAAAAGATTTAACAAGGCATCTACTTAAAAGTATTTGTTGACAAGTGAAGTATGATTATTTTGCGCTTTTTTTCTTTCAGAGCTGGTGACGATTTCTGATTTCTACAATGAATTATCTTTTTTTGTGTGTGTGAAATTTAGTATATTACTATTTGGGGCGAAGACAAAAAAAATCCTGATGACTTGATTTATCCAGAGATATGCTGCTTGATTTTACCATGATTTAGGAAACACATGTTAAAATTGTCATTGTAAAATTGTTGTATAAGCTCTTACAGCCTCCTCAGCTTGTCTCTTTTGTAAGACTTAACTTTCATCTGCAATTTGTCCACCAGATCCTGCAGTCTGGTTCAATCCTTCTTATCCTTAAGTACTGGATGACACGTTAGATGTTCAGTATTTCCTGCACCAGATTCTCCACTAATATTATATCAAATTTAATTATTGATGAAGTACTACCACAAACAGACAAATCAGTGGTTCAAAGTGACACGAAACAACCCAGAGTTGCACAGTGGGCTCAATGAGGTGGATCATCATGGCCGTCTCTATAATCTCATCAAACATGAGTGGAGTCACTGGGTGAATTTCATCCTCCTTCAGTCTTACAAATCATAAGTCACAGATTTGTAAAAAAAAAATAAATAAATCTTAAAACACTACATTTTGTTTACTGCATTGCTTTATTCCTAATTTTGAATTAGCAGTTCCTGATTTGTTTTTACTGTTACTTGGTTTCAAGCTGGAAATGTCTCAACTTGTTTTGCTGCACAGTAGCTTTTGCAACCTCTTTGCTGACTAAGACCCCTTTTAGGTACATCTTCTGTTGGTCAGTTATAAAGTAAGCAGTCTTTGGATTAAATGGTGTGTTCTGAGCCTCAATCTGGCTTGCGGAGAAAAATAGCCTAGTCATAACACTCCTTTTCCCCATCCCAACTCATGGTGGAGCTTTACTGGACAGATAAAACATTAATGATGTAAATTATACAAATCAGTAACTGATATATAAAATTATCAATTTTAATACATTATAAAGGAATACTGCTTCATAGTCAATTGGACTCTACCTCTTTTGTTCCTCTTGTCAGCTGAAGCTGGTCAAATGATGTGAGCAATCTAAAATAGACATTTTCTGTGAGTGAAATTAAGCACATTTGCACACAGAATATTAATAATATACATTTGTATCTATTTTTTATGCAAATTAAACTAAACTTCTTAACATTTTTAATTTGACTAACCTACTTGAAGTCACAGTCAATAGATTTGCACTCAACTTCGTTTTATACAGCATGATGTGTTTAGCCAGTAAAACTCTCCGTCTCTCCCTGTTGGATGCTTGGACTGCCCTCGATTCAGACTTCTCTCTCTGGAATATTATTTTAGTCGGATGATGAATCTAGTCAATCTGGACAGAGCAGTTTTGCTCTGCTCCAATTTTTCCACTTTTCCAGAAAACTGAGGAGCTTTGACATGCACTGAAGTCTCACACAAAGTAAACATGGATATTCTGATTTTGTGATCAAACTAATGGAATACTTGAAATAATACCATCAAAATCAAGCCAAAACCTTCATTCTCTTTCAGAATAAATGTATGCAGTATAATGAAATGTATCACACTGCAATGGTGTAATTCTGTCAGATCTATCCTAAGGATGTTTCTTGGCACTGTTAAGCTTCTCTCTTTAGCAGAGTTGGGCCTGCAAATGTCACTTGTATACTGTTGCAAATTCCTTTCAAAGATGGATTTGACAAAAGACATTATTAATTAATTATAAAAGTAGATGCATTACCACAGAGACAGGTGTAAAACTAACAGCATGTTGCCAACTTTACAATCAGGTGATTCTGTTCTCATTCTATTTAATATTCTCAAACATTTCCAAGTGGCTTTGTTCACTGTAAATAAAACTTCCCATTCTTATTCCCTATCATTTCTCGAAACAACAGATCAAATGATTTATACCAATCACATTCAGTTGCGTTGGGATGAGAAAAAAGATAAGGGCTCAGTAAGAGTGGAAAGTGCTGTAAAAATTCTGAAGAGGTTACCCACAAGAGTGAGCTCATCTCCTGAAAAAGATGGATATACGATATTTTAGATTTCACATTATTTTCTTATGAGGACGCAGCACTATTATAGACACACGCACGCAGCTGTCCTTCAAAATCAACACAAAACATACAAGAGGCTGAAGGGAAAAAGAGATAGGTGAGCACTTCGTTTTGATCTAATTTTATTGTAAAAAGAAGTAAAGGTTGTATAAACATAAGCTCCATTGCTTTATCTTATGCTAAAACATATATTGGTAATAGGGAATACTTAACTGCAACGCTAACCATTTTAAAATGTCAAAAGTAAACCGTATAATAGGATTGGACTCTTTAACTCTGGAATAAATGATAGATCTAGATTATTTGTGAAAACTTTGTTCTACATTTTAAAATAGGTGAAAAACATTACAGTTTCTACATATGTGAAAGAAAAAAGTTCCCAGCAAACAGTTTTGTTTAATAGACGCCTAATAGATATCTAAACGTAGACAGCTTGACTAAAACAAAGGCTAACTTGGGCTGTCAGTGAAAATCTGTCCAATAGATGTCTAAAAATGGTCGTCTTGGCTTAAACAAGAATAAATTTGCCTAAAACTAGACTAGTCGTCAAATAGAGACACTTTATATGTGAAGTCATTCATTTCTGTTTATTTGATGACTAGTCTAGTTTTGGCTTATTCTTAGACACCTATTAGATTTTCACCGACAGCCCAAATTTAGCCTTGTTTTAGGCAAGACGACCATGTTTAGACGTCTATTAGACATCTTTTAAAACAGAAAATGCTAGCTGGGGTGATATTTGCCTACCATTTAAGTTTGTATTGGTCTGACCACTTGCTTTAAAAAATGTCTGAGCATCAGAAGAAATCAATACAAAAAAAAAAAAGTGTAGGCAAACTGCAGGTAACCTTACCATAAAAATCAACCGATCCACAAGCTTTCATTCCCACAGTACACCACACAATATAAGCAATAAAGGGATTTATTTAGCATCATCATCATGATATGGTTTGTAAGATCCATGTGCACCAGCGTGAGGATTTTTATATCAAAACTCAACATGAAAAAATGGTCGTCAGAACACAGTATACATATTTATAAAAAACACTGACAAAATAATCTGTTAAATTATTGGAACACCATTTCCTTTGTGCTCGTGAACATAGATGCGCATTCATCCAATAGACCCGCCCTGATTTAAAGTTAGTTAAAAAGGCAGAAGTAAAATGAGTCTATCCTTTTTAATATGTACAGTACCTGCTCATTAATATTCATGAGCACAAGGGAACGCTGAGGCATATTCAGAATATTGCAAAGTTGTAAGCACTTTACTACTGCTACTACTGCATAATAACGAAGGTATGTGGGATAAGATGAAAAGAGACGGAATGCAAAGAAATTTGCTGAATGTGAAGAAACAAATACTTTAAAAAAATTAGGCAATTAGCAAAAGTTAAAAAAACAGGGCAAAAAAAAAAGGAGTAGAACAGACAACAAATGGAGTACCGTGCCTGTCTGTTAAATCCGTCACTTTGCTCTCAAGTTACAATAATGCAATACTCTGAAATCATTCCTGTGACCCTTCTGGATCCAGCTGTGGTGATGGTCCAGGAATCAAACACACCTTAGCTCCTTCCCCAATGGCCCCAAAGCTCTCCGTAGGTGTTTTACGGTGATAGGGTATTGCAGCCAGCAGAAGGTGTGCTGATCGTTTCTTAAAACTGTTAAGCACCGAAAAGAATGCATAGTGAGGGGTTTGTTGGAGTAACAGTGTTAAATCATGGTGTTAAATCATGTTCAATAGAGACTCACGTTTTTGAGGAACTCCTCTGCAACTATGCGAGCCCTGGCGTTGACTGACAGTTTCATCTCACTGATTTCCTTGTCGATCTCCTCCATGAAATGGATGACAAAGTCCACTAACTTATGCTTGTACATTTGTTCTGTGTGGAAGTTGGTAATGAGGAAACTGATGTCATATCCCTGATAAAAAGAAAGAAGTGTTATTTATATTTGTTAAAATGTTATGCACATGAATATTTCACAACAGAAAGCACACAATTTTAGTATTATGACATGTTTTACATGTGATCTGATTACATGTGATGGATGTTACTGAAAGTATGAGGTCGTCCACTTTCGACGACTTTATAAAAGCATTAGAAAACATGTTTAATTAGATTGCTTTCGTAGTTTCATAAGATGAAGTTAACTGCATTCAAACATTAACAAAAGACATCAAAAGACCTAATTCTTGAACATTAAAGGACATGTTGTTGAAGTGCAGGATTTTAGCTTCAGTTTGAAAGTAAAATTGAAAGTAAAAAAAAACTTGATTAGTGTAAAAACAAACTGCTTAAACCTGATTTAAAAATAAACAACATCTTTGCTTTCTGTATCGTTTGTCATGTTAAAAAAACGTGGTTTAGCTCAAAATAAAAGTGCTTAAACAAGATACAATTAAAAAAAACTTAGCTTTCTGTATCATTTGTAATTTCCATTATCTCCTTTCAGGTTCATATTATTATTTTACAAGCTTATTTTGCAATGTTTTCCATCAAATTTGTAATATTTTATTTTGAAATGATGTGACGAGCAGCACCACACAGTGAGCATAAAAAACATGTAATAAACTAAATACTGGAATACAGGAGGTTGTTAAATATTATTGTTATTCATAACAATAATACCAAGAACAACAAAAGGAAAAATAAAAAGGAAAAACTAAAGCATAAATGAGAGATATACTCATTTTGCAATATTAGCTTCAAAGATCAGATGCCAATACATACACCTGCCACTGACTCTCTACTCAATAAATAAATTAATTAAATCAAGACAGTAATCAAAAGTAGTAAGAAATATTGGCAAAAATGGCACATACATTTGAAGTCAGAATTATTAGCCCCCTGTTTATTTTTCCCCAATTTCTGTTTGATGGAGAGCAGATTTCTTCAACACATTTCTAAATATAATAGTTTTAATAACTCATTTCTAATAACTTTAAAAATAAAATGTATTTTATCTTTGTTATGACGACAGAAAATAATTTTGACTAGATATTTTTTCAAGACTTAAAGGGACATTTAAAGGCTTAACTAGGCAGGTTAGGGTAATTAGGCAAGTTATTGTATAACAATGGTTTGTTCTGTAGACTATAAAATAAAAATTTAGCTTATAGGAGCTACAAACTTTGACCTTAAAATGGTTTTTAAAAAAATGTGTGAAGTAAAACTGAAAATTTCTTGCTTTGTTAAACATCATTTGGACAATATTTTAAAAAATAATTCTGGCTTCAACTGTATGTCTTTCTCATCTAATTGTGTTATGGTCAACTAAAAAACATCTTAATACCAGGTATAAACAGGGAATTAGTTTGCAAATAAATATTTTAGATAAACTGCAAAAGAACAGTTTTTTTTTTTATATATGAATGGAAAAGTGAACAGTATAGTGTTTTGTAAGCTTCTTTACTCTCCTCACCTCCACAGGTTTTCTCCTAAGGATGAAGAAGTTCTCGGCTCTCATCATCATGAAGCGCATAAACTTGTGACACAGGATCTTTTCGATCTCATCAGCCTTCAAGAAGCATCATCCAATCACAGACGGTAAAGACAGAAACAACATCAAACACATGACAGTTTTATGCACATATTTCATTTTACAAAACATCATTGTATTGTGTGGTGTCATATATATTTATTTTGTTTAGCCTTTATAGGTTTATTTGACACAATAGTTACTGTAACCATTGACTTGCATTATATGGATAACCAAGTACCATGCTTTCAATTAATAATGCTCCACTGAAGTCTATAACTAGATCTTACCATAACATTTTTAGGTTGACTGTCCCTTTATTTGAAGTCAAAAGGCCCTCTACAAAGTAACTGTTTAAAGACCAGTCTGTCTTAACCACATTTAGTGAATAGCAAATAGTTAGCGTCAGAGTGAAACCAGCCTCCCTCCCTCATCTCACCATACCACACCACAAGACTTCTCTTTTATACTATTAGTAGCATTTTCAGTATTCTATAATGACATTTGAAGACACAACCATATAGAGGCAAGAGTGAGTGTCTCGAGTAAAACGGCAGCATTTACCTGTTTGACAGCAATGCTGACCCGCACAGAGTTGATGGAACCTTCTATTAGGACCTTTTCTTTATCATTCCTACTGATCACAACAGGCTGAAGCAACAGCTCTTTACTGCTCCTGGTGAGACAATTAAACAAAAACGTTACAGCTACTAAGATAAGATCTTTGAATTTAAGTTAATTACGATAATCATACAATCACATTCCACTTTAATGCATATTGTGATTTTAAAGGGCACCTATTTTACCCCTTTTTTTAAATTTAAGATGAGTCTTTTGTGTCTCCAGAATGTGTCTGTAAGGTTTCAGCTCAAAAAACCCATCAGATGATTTTGTTATAGCTTTCAGAATATTGGATTTTTTGCCCTGAACAACCATGTAGCTGTTTTTGTTGCCTGTGGCTTTAATGCTAGTTCTCCTAGCTCACCGTTCGCGTGTGCCTGTTAAGAGTGTGACTCAATCTTTGCCTCGGCTGTGTCCGATTAACAGTACAGTGACCGACATGAAGGAAGCAGATCTCATGTAACGTTTGTGAGAAATACTACAGTCAAAACTTTCCCAATGATTATTTAATGTATTTGTTGGGGAGGTGTAATGACACGCACTTGGGGTGATAAAGATGGTAAAATCATTGTAATTCATTACATTAAAATGTTTTAAATGTGTAAACCTCATTCTTGATCACATTTGATGATGATTGATAATGACAGTGAGTTGATCAGACCTTTTAACACCAACTGCCTTGCGCACATCCTGTCTTATTGATATGATTTTATGTATTACATGTTAATACGTGGCTGTCAATCAATTCGGTGGGTGGGAAAACCGCACTTCTATCTCACTTGATGTTAGCCTCAAAATAGGAGGGATTTGGATCCTATTTTAACGTCGGGAACGTTAAAAATAGAGACTTATTGTTTTATATTGCCCCAATATGGCTGTGGACACACTTTACCTAGTTTTGTTCAAATAGCTCTCAAAAGATGATTTTCATCACAGGTGCCCTTTAAGTAGCTGACACAATGCACATTCTAGACTTTTTCATCACAAATCACACATTAAAATTATATTTTATTAATATAGTAGTTTGCGACGCGGTGAAGAAGTGGGTAGCATGATCCTCTCACAGCAAGAAGGTGTCTGGTTTGAGCCTCAGCTGGGTCAGTTGGCATTTCCATGTGGAGTTTGCACGTTCTCCCTGTGTTCACGTGGGTTTCCTCCGGGTTCTCCAGTTTCCCCCACAAGTCCAAAGTGGTATAGGAAAATTGGATACGCTAAAATTGACCAGTGTATGTGTGTGAATGAATATGTATGGATGTTTCCCAGTGATGGGTTGCAGCTGGAAGGTCATCCGCTGCGTAAAACATATGTTGGATAAGTTGGCGGTTCATTCCGCTGTGAAAACCCCTGATTAATAAAGGGACTAAGCCGAAAATAAAATAAATGAATGAATGTAGTAGTTGTAGTTTTAATTTGGTAATGTTATTTTATTATTATTATTATTATTATTATTATTATCATTAGCACTATTTGTTTGATTCCCATTTAGCATAGTTTTTTGTAATGTAACAACTGTTTTTTTTAAATGATCTAAATTAATTTTTATTGCACATTAATACTGTATTTTACTTGTGATTAAGCTTTAGGTAAACTGACAGAAGTTCCATTATGCCTCATTTCACCTTAAAAGAGAATCAAAAACTACAAAACGTAAACAAAACAAAAGCCCAGACACTCATGAGTAAAAACATAACCTGAAATTCCCTCAAATTTCTTTAAAAGCCAAAAAAGATCATTTGAACAACTTGAGTTAGTAAATTTAGTTGCAAGTTACCCCATAATGCACTTTCAAAACTAATAATGACCATTAGGCTACAGATAAAACACAAAGCACTTAGATCAGATGTATGCATGCATTTAAATGCATGCAAGAATCAAGTAACTTCACACACAAATATCAAATACTCAAAAAATGCAGTCTTTTTACACATACCGGACTTCAACCTCAGGTTTGTTGTGTCTTTCCACCACCTGTGAGGAGAAGTTCTCCAGACAGAGAGCTGCCTGCAGTGTAGCACGCACCGCATTCAGGTACGGACGCAGAGTCGCCGTCTGACAAAAAGCAAAGCAATATAATCAGTCCTCATGATTATAAATCACATTCAAAACCTATAAGCAGGTAAGCGAGCACATAGCAAACAGCTCACTACTCTGTTCCACACACGCCTGAACCTGCAGGGGAATTCTTGGGATACTGTACTCAAGCCCTCCAAACGATAACAAACCATTATATGGTTCAGTCGGCCTAAAACGCCACAAATCTTTTCATAGACTGCATTTGAAGAAGTCTGTCACTTCCTGAAGTTTAATGCAAGTCATGGAGGAAGTGCAAAAGCTACTGCAAGAAAGATGATGCATTATTAAAGCTGAAGTGACCTTGTTTAGTGTTATGTGGGCTTCCTTTCATTTAGAAATAGCTCACTGTATAAACATGTCATAAGTCTGTATGCATAATTAATATTTTCTATCATGAAGCAATTATGCATCAGAAGTTGCAAAACCGAGCATCTGGGATGAGCAGATATATTGTAGTTTGTGCTGTGCATGCACAAGAGGAAAAAATAACATACGAGTAACCATAACCACTGGACACAAGTCGACCAGATGTGCATTTGTTCATCCATTTAGAGTAAAGGATTTATATAAAGCATGTAAGTTAGAATACATTGATGTTTCATAATAACAGACTGGCTATTAATAACTTGAGATTAAATTGGGTCAAACTGCCAGTTTATCCATAATACACAACTCATAGACTACAAGACGCTGGCAATATTACCACTTCTAAAACGAGACGTGTAAATTCAATATCAGTCTACTCGAAACTGGGGAATATGGGTGGGGATGTTAGCTAGTAATTTAGCGCTACCCGACGATTGAGCAACTTCACATCATCCCACAAATAAATAGCAGCAGAAAGACTGCATCACGACGTTGTTAACGTTTTTACTATAATAAGTGTAAATACAAAAGAAAAGGTTCATATTTTTCGGAAGTGCTGAAAGGAAATCCTACCATTTCTGTGTACCCGCTGGAGCAGAAGACGGAAGTGCTACAAACACCGGGCGACTTCCGCAAGTAACGCCACTCATAGGAAGATACCAACTTTGTCGTAGCGGGGGGCGACGGCAGTACAAATGTAATGCGATTTATTTTTTGGCCTTTTGATTTGGATACTGAAATGTGATTATTTGATTGTTCATCACTCATAATGCATCATTAATATGACACGGAGATCCAGGCTTTAAAATCTGTTTATTGTGCGAAATAGACCTTTGTTCTCATGCAGTTCAGACAACCTAATAGTGATTATAATTCACTTAATACTGAATTTTATTTCATTAATTGTATGAAACAAGTAGTGGCTGCACCTTTTATTTGTTTGTAGATCGTTTTTTTTTCAAGCATCAAAATAAAAGTTCAATTTGTCATTTATTTCTAAATTTACATAGCAAAAAATATAAAATATTTAGAATAAAAATTGTTTTATAATGTAATTGAGGATCAAACAGCATCCCCATTTGTTTATTTTTCTTCGGCTCAGTCCCTTTTTCATCAGGGATCCCCACTGTGGAATGAATCGACTCATTCATCAGCATATATTTTTTTACACAGCAGACTGGTCAACTGGTCCAGCCAGGACTCGAACTAGTGACCTTCCTGCTGTGAGGTGACAGTGCTAATCACTAAGCCACCATGTTGCCAAAACCCCATTAATTTCTTTAAAATATTTATATTTTGTGACCATCCTTCAGTTCACTAGGCTTTAATAATTGTAGTCCTCCGAAATCTAGTACACTTTAGTTTGAGTGCTTATACATGTTTAACAAGTACAGGCCAAAATAACTATTTTGTTTAATTTTTACACAGATATATTATATAGAATGATGGAGGAACATTATTTAATCTGTATTTTATTTTTTTCACAAAATCACATTTATAAATTCACATTGAGCTGGACACCAAAAATTGGAGATGTCTTTAGCTAATGTGCAGTAACGTTCTTCCTATTATTATTTATACATGGGTAGTGTTTTACAACTTAATTTCTGTACTCCACCATTAGATTTGGATATTTAAAAAAAATCACATATTTGACATTTTCCAAGTGTCAGCAGTATATAACCATTTAATTCATCATTATTTCACATTTTGTGTTGTTTTCTAAACTTTGCAGTATCCTCAAAGTTATTAGTTATAAGCTTATCCTGCTTACCAAGGCTGCATTTATTTAATCAAAAATACAGTACAAATTGTAAAATGTTATTGCACTAAAGAATAAAAGTTCAAATGTAGTTTAGAATTTAATTTAATTATTAATTCCAGTGATTTTAAAAAGGAATTTTCTGCTTCTTTACTACAGTCAAATGATCCTCCAGAATTCACTCTAACATAAAGTATTATTGTTGTTTTTTAATATTATTATAATTAATGGTAATAGTAATAGAAGCAATAATGACTGGAGTAATAATCTCATTTGAAACTACACTAACAAAGCAGTCATTAAAAATTTTAGTAAATATATATTTTTAAATGTACATTATGTTTACTTGATGAACAGAATAATTTTCTTAAAAAAAACAAAACATGAAAGTATTTTATTTTTCCGCAAACTCACATTTATAAATTCATGTTGAGCTGAACACCAAAAATTAGCATGCCTTGTCTTTAGCTGATGTGCAGTACTTTATTTTACTTGGAAAGTGTTTTAGTACTTAATTTCTGTACTCCACCAGATTTGGATATATAAAAATCACATACTTGACATTTCCAGGTGTCAACAGTGTGAAAAACAAATCTTTAATTCATCATTAATTCACATTGTTTTTGCCATATAGGTTATTAGTTTGGAGGACAAAATAGTTAAGCAGTTCTGCAACAACTATTAGATCCCAAATCAAACTATATCATATAAAACTGGTAAAACATGGTATTAAAGTTACATTTAATCATAAATCTGAGATAAATAAGCAGGCCAGATATCTGTTTTACATACATAAAGAAGGATCCAAATACACATAAGACATTTAGTATTTCAGTAATATTGTATTTGCAGAAATGTTTTGTAAATGAAATAAGCAAAAACCCTGTTAATGTTAAGTTAAATAGCCTACTATCAGCTGCACTTAGATTGTAGCCAGTAACTATTCTGTTCAGTGCAACAAAACAAATACTAACATGCATTTCAGAAAAGCATCAATGCAGTTTATAAAATGTATATCGACGATACATCAGTCCCCAAATATCAACAAGAATATCAAAAATAAAAATCGTCTGGTTTGTCTGGCTAAGACACTAAATAGGCTATAAAAATATAACTCCTCTTCGTCAGAAAGTCTATTTTGATTTAGTTTTCTTCTTTGCGGCAGCTTTTGGCTTTTTTGCAGCTGTTTTCTTGGGTTTGGCGGTCGCCTTCTTCACACTCGTCTTCTTCGGGGTTTTCTTCTTAACAGGGCTCTTTTTGGCGCTCTTCTTTGCACTCACTTTCTTGGTCACGGCTTTTTTGGAGGTCGGCTTCTCCGTCTTCTTGGTCGCCTTTTTTGACGCAGCTTTCTTTGGCTTTTTCTCAAGTTTCTTCTTATTGAGCTTGAATGACCCGTTGGCTCCGAATCCCTTCACCTGCACGAGCGTGTCGTTGAGCACGAGCGCGCGGATGGAGGCGCGCAGATACATGCGTCCGTTCTTCTGGTCAAACCAGCTCACTTTCTTCGCTTCGTTGTAGATTTTGAAAAGCGACGAGCCGTTTTTCTCTCCCAGAGTACGGATAGCATCAGTTACAAGCTTGCTGTACTTCCCGGGGCCCTTGCTCTTCTTTTTCTTCTTTTTAGCTGGAGAAGCAGCCACGGCAGGTTTAGCTTTTTTCTCCGCTGGAGCAGGGGCTGGGGCGGGCGCTGACTCTTCGACGACAGCAGGCATGATCAAGCTTATGCGTATAAGAGTGTATTTCCCAAGATCAGATCAGGTCAGATATGCGAGCATCATCACGAAGTTTGTATCAACAGATTTAACGGCGGAACGCGGACGTGATTGAGAACAACAACATCGTCAGCGGAGGCACTTGTGGAGTTGTGTTTTCTTTCACGTCTTTTGGAACTGTTTTCTTATTATCTTGACATACTTTACTCTTTCAGATTATTTATATGGAAAGTCCAGACGGTAGTCTTTCCGATGGAGTGCAAAAGTGGTCAAATAAAAGCAACAATGTGGCAAGAGAAAGCAAAGAAAAGACCATGCCCACATAATGTCCAGCGATTTGCGGTAGGGGCACAGACTTTGAGAACGAAATTCTTTTCGTGGACATGCAGACAGTTTGTGCTCTAAATCTGCAATGAAAGTTTAGAAATGACAGATTATGGAATTATATTAATCTGTCGCCGCTAATTCAATCCCTTCGAAATAAAAGCAGTTTCATTTCGTCAAACTAACACATCAAACGCCCTCGCGTGGCTGGGCATTGGCAAGCATTTTTCATTGCATATATCTTGTGTTCCTGATTACTCGCTGTATTTCCTGCCAAGGTGGTACTAAATTTGTGCACAAGGCACGAAATGTGTATTTGTCGTTTTATGCTACAATAAAGTAATCATTCAAGGTTTTTAAATCATTTATTATATCAAAAGTACACTACTATACACCATTTTACTTATATGTCAAAAAAGAGGTAACTTTTCAAAAAATGCTGATGGAACTCCGCCCCCATCGAGGCATGAGCTTTTTACAACTTCAGGGTCTGCCCTACTAAGTTATTTCACTTGAGTTTAAATTTCCTAAGCTGTAAGTCATACCTAGAATTACAATTAAAACAGAAAGCCTTAACCAAATAGCCTGCAAGTTAGATTTTTTTTTATTTTTTATTTTAATAACAAATAGTCCATGACTTAAGATGCACTTGTCTGTCTGTGTCTGTCAATATCGGAGATGCCCAAACTTGGGCCAAAGTTGGTAAACTTTGATTTGGCCCGCCTTCCTATCTGAGAAGATGTGTGAGAAGGTTGGGGGGAATGCCTTTAACAGAGGTCCTCATTTCTAATTTAACATAACCTTTTGTTTATTTCTGTCATTCATTGTTGAGCTACAAAAAAAGCAAACTAATTAAATGTTTGAATTAAATGTTGTGCATATATCAGAGTTTTAAAACTGTAAATGCTGTCGCTCGAAGATAGAGGACAATGCACAAGACATTGACAAGCAAATAAAAAAAAGTTTATTGTAGAATGTAAAAATTATATATTTAATTATTAATATGAATAAAGTATTTTTTAAGTATTGTTTATTTTAAAATCTTAATAAAGTAGGAAACTATATTTATTATTTATGAAAGCAATTCAAGACTCATGGATGTGACATTTGCAGTAAAAACTCTAAACACAAGTTCATAAAGTATATGTTAAGATTATATTAAAACATCTGTTTATATTTTCCAAAACTACTAAACACAGAGGTATTGGAGCAGAAACATATCAATCTGTAAAAGAAATTCTGTGAATTAAGCCACACAACACAAAACAGTCTTCGTTAAGAATGTGACAGATGTTAAGATTAATGAACAATTATTATATTTTTTGTCCTCATAGTTCACTGACAGGTTTAGGATAGTAAATATGCTCACTAATGACAAGTGAGAGATTTTTGAGTGGAGGTGCATTACTTGATTTTAAAATGATTGAAGGAAACACACACTACCTATATGATTATTTATTGAACATCAACGTTGAACAACTGAAAATAAAACACACATTGCCTAAAACAAAGTCACTTTTTTTCTGATAAAAAAGTAATAATAAATAACCTGCACTTTTGGAAACAACATTAACTATTTTTAATGTTTTTCAAATGAAAAGTAGAAAATAAGCTGCATCTCTTCTAAATAAAATAACTCTTGTATATCCTGTAAACATTATTTCAAACACTGCATTTTTTTGCATCTTTTGCAAACAAATATTTTATTGTAAATAATAAATTTAATGTAATAGATAATATGCCGTCTCAAGGCAACTCCCAATCATTGTCAAAGTATGGCTAAACAATGGATCCTAATTGACCAGAGATTAGATGTGGCTGCAAAGGGGCCTCAGAAGAATAAATCAGCCACAGCCTTTAACAGAGCGGGCTCATGTGACACGTAGGGAAAGTAATTTAAGTAAATAAAATCATCCTGAAAAAATGTAACCGATTATAGGTTCTGATTGTCAATTACTTTTCAATTAATCTCCCAGCCCTAGACTTTGGTAAATCAGATAAAGTTGTTTGAAAACACTGACAAAGACAGTTTTAAGTATTTTCAGTACTGTAAAATTCAAGCCTACACAAAAATAAATAAATAAATAAAATTCTGAAGGGTTTCTATTTTTTTACTATTTTGTTGAAAACTTTTTCATTGCAAGGCTCAAATTGGCATGGAATTGCTCATATATAATTTAAGCTTCAAAACGTTTTTTTCAAATGCAATGCTGAATCTCAACGCTATCTTTAGATGATGATAAAAAAATAATTAATGCTTTCATTTTCTCTCTGCTTGATTAGTATGCTATTTATACCAACGCAATCTCATGGCAATTCGTAACTTTTTGATTTAGTGGCTAATTGGTATGAATTCGTACGATCTAATTCGACCAATTTTGTACGATTTGCTTATCACCCAATAACGGTTGGGGTTAGGTGCCACGCCTCCTTTTTAAAATCGTATACATTTTTGTACGATTAAACTTGTACGATTTTGTACGAATTAACCACTAAACTGGCAAAACGTACTGGTTGGGTTTCTTTAAGGAAGTTGCAACTAATACAAAATGCAGCAGCCGGAGTTTCAATAAAATTGAAGAAACGAGAACGTATCACACCAGCATTAATAGAATTACATTGGTTACCAGTGCACCTAAGGATATATTTTAAGATTCTTTTATTAGTTTATAAGGCACTACACAACATCACACCTGCTTACATTTCTGACTGCTTATCAAAATATAATCCAAACCGTTTGCAATTTTTACAATTTCTTTTACAATTTCACTCTGTAAACCTGATGCAATCTTGCGCCACTTCTTTTAGTCACTATGCTCCAAAATCTGGAATTGTCTCCCATTTAAAGTGAAAGAATCCCCCAGCATTCATGCTTTTAAAAAGCGTGTTGAGACACATCTTTTTAAAATTGCGTATGAATACAACAGTTTGTAAAGTGTATGCATTTTGTGTATTTTGTGTAGGTGTATGCATGTACGGTGTGTGCATGCATATGTGAGGACTATTGTGTAGATATATGCATATATGTGTGTACATATGTGCTGTTATCTGAGTATTTGTTATTATGCTGTATTTGTTTATGCATTTTGGATTTTAGTTTATTTTAATTCTTGTTTGTGAAGCGATTTGAGTTGCATGTATAGGAAAAGTGCTAAACAAATAAAATGTGTTATTATTATTATAAAATAAGCAGTCATTTTTGAACAAAGTGAAATATACATTAAAAAGGAAAACTTCCAAGAAACAAAACAAAAGGACATTTTTTAGAAGGACGGGAGGGATATCAGTTCCCTGCTGCCATCACCTAAATGCCATCTTTGGACATTCAGCACTAGATGGCAGCCTCTCTACAGATAACAGTCTGTGTTTTGATTATATGTACATGAAGTTCACGTCATCTAACTTTTGCATTCATAACAAATAGTGAATGAGTGTTATCTTGCAACACCCCAGTGGGCAGTAACAAACTAAAGAACATAAAAGGCCCATAAAAAACAGCTTTTAAGACAAAATGCACAAATGAATTTGAATGAGCCTCTACTTTGCCCAAATGTAACACTTACAAACTGCCCTGAGATTGTGTTGTCATTTAGTCACATAGTGATTCTTGAATCATTCATTACCTTCCTGTGACTGTACAATGCATTCTAGCACATTTACACGTTATAACCACTTCCTGTAGCACACATGCACACAAAAAGCAAACACCTCTCAATAAAATAAGTCTGTTTGAGACAGAGAAAGGTTAAAGGTCAAAGTGTAGCACAGGTCATCCTATTCAAACAAGTTTCCTCCATCCCGGTCCCTGTCTCAGTGTGTATATTAGTGTGTGCAACAGTCTGAATTTAATATGAGTGTTAAAAAAGGAATTCCAAGTTTTTATGACCCTTAACAAACTCAATAAACTTTACACACACACACACACTTCAAAACAGGACACACAAGGAGTGAAGAGGTTGAGCTAAACCCTGATTTTATCTTAGTTTTTGAATGCGCCTGTATGACAGTGTGTGATTATTTGTAGATTCGAGATGGATTTGATGGTGGAAAAACATGCCTTCAGGTAGACGGTGAGTGTTTGTGTGTATAGGTATGAGTGTGCGTTTGTGTGTGTTAGGGGGTGGGTGAACCGGTGCATGTCAGACAGCAAAGAGCCACAGTTATCTAGGAATCTGAGCCAAAAGAGCCTCACAAACAGACGGGAGCGCGCAGGAGAGCGAGAGGGAGGGAAAGAGGAGAGAAGATCAAATAAAAGAGGACAGTAGGACAGGAGACTCGCTGGAGGATAATCTGTAGGACCTGATGACATAGCTACGAATCTGAAGAGAGAAACAACATCAGTGATACAGGAGTTTTCAGGCAGTGTACAGGTGTCTCTATCTCTCTGGACTCTTCTGGTGGCCTGAGCAGCATGTGTGTGCGTGTCGTGCTGGTGTTTTTGCTGGGAGTGTATATGATGTGTGTTCGTGTGTGGTGTCAGAGGGACATTCTGGTGGCCGGACCCCCAAACAGTGCAACGTCAGCCCCCAAAATACATCAGCCACACTCTCAGGACTCGAGGCTCAGAAAGACTCCAGAGAACCGTAAACATGCACAGGTAAGCATTAGCTATAGGAAAACATGATCTCTGAGAGATATTTACGAGTGTATCGCTTAACAATAACATCTTTATCGTTAGTATTAGTTAATGCAGTGGTTCCAAACTGGAGGTAGCAGGACAATGAGTCGCTTGGTGAGTTCCAAGAGTCAAATAAATGTTATTAAACTATTGAAATGACCATATTTTATTCATAACCCACAGAAGAGAAATAGTAACATAAAAAAGCAACAACATAAAGGTATCAGTCGTTTGTTTTATTTGTGTTTACGTTAGATAAAAAACAGCAATAGCGTCAGCTGCAGCAGATTGATTTTATAGCACCAGATTAAACTTTCTGACACCTTTATGACAATAAAATACATTACAAATAAATACAGGCCACAACTGAACTTTGAGGATGATCTCTGAGTGGCGGTCTCCAAAATTAAACCAAGAATAGACTTGTGCTGAAAACATTGTGCCTCGTTAACTGAGGTTAATATTAAATCAATTAATAAATGGCTACATAAACTATAGCCTATGGTTGTTAGACTGTTGCACTTTTTTATGTTGTCAACATGCTCGTGTTCATATAGGTCTATTGTTGTGTGTGCAACATTTGTATATTTATAGCCACCTCTGAGGAATGTGAGGGTCGCTAGTCACTGGCTTTGTTATTTTGGGGGTTGCGGACTGAAATGTTTGGGGACCCCTGAGTTAATCCATTAGCGAATAAAAATGTGCACTGACAATATATATTTTAGATAATTTGTCAAACATTGTTAATTCATGGACAGTTCAACATTAACAGACTCATTTTCTGATTTGATTAGTTTTTACCTAAAATTCTAAATTAAAATTGTCAAAAATGCCACAGGGTTGTCGTTTATTGATCATCTCTTAGCGTATGATAACTAATGATACCCTATTGTAAAATGTCACTCACATTTGGTTTACAACAGATATCATTTATTAATGTTCCTCATGTGCACTATAGTATTACCTAACATTAAAATGTACTTCATAATATTAGTCATATTAATGTAAATTAATAATAATCTCAACATTTACTAATGAACAATTAAAATTCATATACATGCGTTACATAAGCTTCACATGTGAAATACGAAACATGTAATTTCGAAACATTTTCATGTGGGGAAAAAATTTGATCACCTGATGTGTTTTTACTAAATATTTCAAAAACACATTTTATTTGATTTGTTTTCTATGATTTTTCTAAACATACATATTTTTACGTGAGGCAAAGTAAGTATATTTTGTAAACAACACAATCATAAGAGCAAGGCACTCAAAAAAGTAAATAAAATTACAAAGCCTTTATTGACATTGTTAATATTATAAAACATGATGTAAACAAATGCTTTTTAAATATTTCACTTACACTTTGAGTGCCTTGGACTTATGATTTTGCTGTTTACAGTATCTTATCCCTAAACCCTTATCCAAGGAGCAACATCGCATTAAATACTCCTGAAGCACTTTTTGTTTGATTTTAGATTTTAGTATATTTCGGATTTGCTTTTTATTCTTTTTTTTTATTGATATATATATTTAGGCAAAAATGTATTATCTATTTGCATGTTTGTCATATCTCAATAACTCCTATAAGCTTGGTGTTGTGGTGTTAAAACATTTTAAGAAATGAAATTCAGTTTAGGATGTTTAATCCACCCCTGTGTTTAATATCGCCTATTGAATAATTTATGCATTCTCTATTCAACAGCTTGCGTCCACACATACTTTAATTAGCAGAGGTGCTCAAACTTTTCTTATGAAGGGCCAAAAAGCAAACTTGATTGAGGCTAGTGGGCCGAAGGTAAATATAGTTACCATGGGTAATTTCCTAATTTATTTAAAAATAACTAGAAAACATTGCTTTTTATTAACTAATACTGCATAATTATACATTTTATAATGAATTTATTACAGTACAAACAAAAATAATTTCATTTATTATGGAATGGAGTTACACTAGATTTTGCCTTGATTTACTCGCCGATGTCTTCTGCATAGTTTCTATTCGTCAAGTGACAGTATTTACATTTTTAAAAATCAGATTCATTTACAACATTTAATTAAAACATTAAATTCAGTTTGCTTTTTTGTAGCTCAGCAATAAACAAACAACCAAAAAAAAGAAAAGAAAAGTTAATGTCAGATGGGATGGTGAACCAAATGAAAGGTTACAATGGGACAACTTTGGCCCTACTTTGGGCATCTCTGTTATAGAGAATATTCACTACTGAAAATATTACATATGTCAATACTGACATTAATAAAAGGTGTTAGCATATGAAGAACTGGTATACAACTGAGACTGAATAGACATTTCCTTTGTGTTTCATTTGTGTCCCGCAGGTGACTGACACCTCTGAGCGGCTCATCCAGCTGCAGCGCTGTATGCTTCAACATGAATCAGTGGCTATGAGTCGGGGAGATGGATCAGACTCACTGGTCGCCTTTCTGGCTCTAATGGCAGCGGTGCTGACCGAATGTAACCTCCACTGCCATAGTCAAAGACTCCGAGAGATGGCCACCAGACTCGGTCATTAACTAACACAACATACAACCACTTACATTTCCTTTATAAATGATGTGGAACAGGCTAACATTAGATAATTTTTCAATTTGTTTGTCAGACTAACCACTCTTTATCATTTGTTATTTCATTCCTGCTATTCTCTCAATTAAGCTAACACGCTTGGCAAACAGAGGTGCTGTTAGGAATGCAAGAAAATGAACCCGTGACAGTCTCCATCTGACCCTTTCATTACCTTTCTCTAACCTTTGTATAACCTTACAACAAACCCAACAACGCTGAAATAGTCAACAAGCAAATAATTGAATAATTTACTCTTTAAACACGCTATATTGCATTAAAAGCAATCTCTTCCCAACAATTGACCTCTATTTGATTTATGTTTTGGTTCTTTATATCATATTGCTTAGTTGCTATAGCATGTTTGATAAAATTAAATTCAAAGAGGGACTTCCCAAATCAAAAATAATCTCTAGGCCCTGTGGTTGGAAAATAGCTATCAAGTATATTAAAAATAGTTATAACTGTGTGTTCCAAATATCTTCTACATTGTGCTAGAATGCTAAGAGAACATTTCTATTTACATTTATGGATAGAAAATCCAATATGAGTGTTAAAAATATCAATGAACTCTCCTGAGTGTTGCTTTGACTCTCTCTCTTTCTGTCTTAGAAAGTGTGGTGGGCAAAAACGGGGAGAAAGATTTGCTGCTGTTACTGAAGAGTATCACACATTCTAAACCTAATAGCCTCAAACCAAGGACTCCTACAGGTGAGCCACACACACACAGAAAGATAGCCAGGCAGATACACAGAACAAACACCCTGTTAAGACCAGCAGAGTATTTATTGCACAAATGTTCACAGATGGTTTGTTTGCATCTGTACGGCAGTGCCTCCATCTGCAGGGCTTTACCCTCAAGACTGTCATGAAATCTACCAATTAGGAATCAAAGAGAACGGAATCTACACCATACAGCCTGATCCAAAGCAGCCAGCGCTGGAGGTACAAACATCACAGGCAGTGTGGAGAAACACACATATATTCAATATATTACAATAAATCTTTAAAAATATTTAGATTTAAAATGCATTGAAAAAATGATTCAAAGTTGATTTCTTGGATTTACAATCTTTGTTTACTTTAAGTGGTTATAAACTATTTATTTGGGCTTAATTTAAACAAAATAATTCAGTTGAACATTGCTAAATTTGATTTGTTTGTTTAAATTGAACACACATAAACTGTTTTTAACAATTTAGCAGAAATAATTTTTTTCAGTGTGGCAAAGCAAACAGCTACTTTTATTATGATAAACTCCACTGTGATCACTAGACTGAAATTGAACGTAAATCAAATGTGACTTAAAGGCATAGTTCAGCCAAAACTGAAAATTTACTTCTGATTTTCTTTCTTCTGTTGAATACAAAAGAAGATATTTTGAAGAAAGCTAGAAACCTGTAACTATTAAATTCCACCTTATTTGGAAGTCAATGGTTACAGGTTTCTAACATTTTAAAAAATATCTTCTCATGTGTTCACACTCATAAAGGTGAAGAACTATTTGAGGGTAAGCTAATAGTGTGTAAATTTTCAGTTTTGGGTGAACCATCCCTTTAATGGGGATAATTGTATTTTGTTTGTATTGCATTTTTGTCATTATGTGGGCAGTTTGATTTAAAAACAATAAAATAAAGAGAGAGACCTTTCCTGACTTTCAATGTTGCAAAGCATGTAAGATCAAATAATGAGTACACTGTAAAAAAAATATTGTTTCCTATTTTGTGATTCACAAACGTTTTCCGTTTATTTACAGTTGTGAAGTGCATTATGGGAGCTTGATTGCTGCTCTGTTGAATTTCGATGTTGAAAATTGAACTTTACAGTTTAACAAAGTGACTTTTATTTACATTTTAGCAGTTTGAAATAATAAAATCTATAAGAAATTATAGGCGGCACAGTGGCTCAGCGGTTAGCACCGTCGCCTCACAGCAAAAAAGTCACTAGGTCGAGTTTGCACATTTTCCCTGTGTTGGCGTGACTTTCCTCCAGGTGCTCCGGTTTCCCCTACAGTCCAAAGACATGAATTGGATGAACTAAACTGACCATAGTGTATGAGTGAATGTGAGAGTGTATGGGTGTTTCCCAATACTGGGTTGCAGCTAGAAGGGCATCCGCTGTGTTAAACATATGCTGGATAAGTTGGCAGTTCATTTCACTGTGGCGACTCCTGATAAATAAGGGACTAAGCCGAAGAAAAGCTAATGAATGAATAAGAAATTATATATAGAGAAAAAAGTCTGTAAAATAACAGAAATGGTACAGCTAGCCTGCAGCTAGCTCTCTTTAACTCTTAGGGTCGCCCACTGAAGCTAAGCAGGGCTGCGCCCGGTCAGTACTTGGACGGGAGGCCACATGGGAAAGCTAGGTAGCTGCCGGAAGTGGTGTTAGTGAGGTGGTGAGCGCTCAACCTGTTGTCTGTGTGGCTCTTTATGCCCCAGTATAGTGAAGGGGACTCTATACTGCTCACTGAGCACCATCTATCGAATAAGACATTAAACCAGTTGTTAAAAATCCCAGGATGTCCTTTGAAAAAAAAAAAAAAAAAGAGTAGGAGTTTAACCCTGACCTCTATCCATTATGGCCTCCTAACCTTTCCCATATCATTTTCGGCTTCATCTCCTCTCCAGCAATTAGCTGGTGTGTGGTGTAAGGTCCGGCGCAATATGGCTGCCATCGCATCATTCAGGTGGATGCCGCACACTTGTGGTGGGTGAGGTCATGAGGAGATTCCACCCAATGTATAAAGCCCTTTTGAGTGTCCAGAAAAGCGCTATATAAATGTAAGGAATTATTATTACTATTATTATTATTACTATTATTATTATTACAGAAACAGGCTTTTGTACCATAATATACAACACCAATTCAAACAATACATCACTTTAAAATATTAATATTAAAAAAAGTATCTTTTTTTTACTTTTAAAGGTAAAAAGTTGTTGAAAAAAGATCAAGGTACTGTATCAATGTAATCCAAAAGCATAAATACATGAGAAAAAAAAACAAATAAAAACATAAATCACAAAATTCATGGATGGTGCGGCCTCATAGCAAGAAGGTTGTTGGCTGGAGCCTCGGCTGCCCTGTGTACTCCAGTTTCCCCACAATCAAAAGATATGAATTGGATGAAATAAATTGACCAGTGTATGAGTGTGCATGTGAATGTGAGCATGTATGGGTGTAGCTGGAAGGATATCCACTGAATAAATCATATGCTGGATAAGCTGGTGGTTCATTCCGCTGTGGCGGGAAAAGAAAATGAATGAATGAATAAATCACAAAATACGGAAAACTGTTAATTTCCAGATTATTTTTTTACAGTGCAGCCCGACATGATGCAGAAAAAATTTAAGTGTACTTTGTGAGAGATGTGTTGATGATGGTTTGTCCATTTCAGGCTGTGTGTGACATGGTTTCAGCTGGAGGAGGATGGACGGTTTTCCAGCGCCGTTTTGATGGAAAAACTGACTTTAACCGAACCTGGCAAGAGTACCGTGATGGATTTGGCTCCCCGCAGACAGAACACTGGCTAGGGAACGCAGTTCTGTATGCATTAACAGCCAACGGGCAACACACACTCCGCATCACTCTACAAGATTGGCACGAACAGACACGCCATGCTAATTATAACAACTTTAAAGTGGCTGGAGAAAACCAGAGGTATATGCACACATTCATCCAATATCCAGAGTTTCTGTTACAGTATTAAATAGATGTAAATGTGAATTATTTATGAACGCATATGTGATATTTTCTCTTTGAGGTTCCGTCTGACTGCTCGAGAGTACCACGGTGATGCTGGCAATGCATTCAGCTACAGCAAACAGTACAATCATGATGGCAGAGCGTTCAGCACATATGACCGGGATCATGACCGCTACGCTGCTGGTAACTGTGCCCGCTACTATGGTGCAGGCTGGTGGTTTGATTCCTGTTTGGCTGCAAACCTCAATGGACGCTTCTACCATGGTCGTTACAGCGGCATCACAGACGGCATCTACTGGGGCACCTGGTATATACTGACTGAGTATCGCACTGGGGAAAGATATTCATTTAAGAGTGTTGAAATGAAAACGAGACCCAGGCGAAGCTAAGAAAAAAGTCTTTTTTAATGAGAATTTCTTGATATGTTATCAAACTCTTGCACTGCATTTCATCTCAATTGACATATTTTAAACAATCTTGTTTTTCTCAGAGTACACTATCCATTTTTAGTTACACCGTCTGAAAAAAAAAAAAACTGTGGACTTTATCTACCATAAACTGTAAAGAGTGATAGAAGTAAACTGAGAGTAAACCCACTGTAACTCGGAACAGTTAAGTTGACCTAATTTTAATAATTATGCACATAGTTCATTTACTTAATCATTTAAAGGCAACAGGTTTACTCACTTTAATTTACTTTAAAATCAATGGGTATACTCAATTTAAAAGTAAATTAAACTAATAGCTTTTTACAGCGTAGATATACAGTACAGATGCCACATTCAACCACATTAAACACTTACCCATTGAAGTGTCTAATGTGGTTGAATGTGGGACTATCTTGTAATGGTCAACGTCTTTCACTTACAATATTAATGGCTGAGTTTTCCCCGATGGTGCAACATTTAACAGCCTCTAAAATCTCCCAAGACTAATATTTCTGAAGTAATGGGGAAATCATTCATCAGTAGAAATGTCTGAGTTTTTCTATTATACATATTACCTCGGAATAAAACTATATATACAGTATTTTTTTTTGTCATATCAGCTATTGCCTACTTGTTTCTGTTTTCTGTTAGTTTAGCTAAATCACCTTCCAAAGTCACGATATAGATATTCATACTTGCTCTCAATGAGGCTAATAAAAGTACAAGATGTCCCTTTGTGGGTTCTGGACCACTGACAACCTGTTGTAATGTTGTGACCCGTTATTCTAACGGTATAATTTGTGTTATTTTTTTTAAAGACAGTAGCAGCTTCATGAGATGCAAATATACTAATAAAGCATCATGCTGTAAATACAGGAATTTATTTTACCATAAATAAAACATTATTTAAAGTCAGCATGAAATGAAAATCATCTTTAAATGCACTTTTTATGAAGTGATTAGTAATTTACATAAACCCATTGTAACTTTGTAACAGTTGACTTAATTTTTATAATTATGCAAATAGTTATAGAAATACTTATTAATTTGAAGGTAACAGGTTTACTCACTTTTTTTTAAAAGTGGAATCAACTAATCATTTTAAAGTAACGGGTTTGCCAGCACCACATTTTTTACTATGTAATAACTTGACTCTGATAAAACAACAAACTTCTCAATTTAGTCTATGAAAATCCCACCTCTTCATTTAAATCATATTCAAGCTTTCAGTAAACAGATCAGCTTTTCCCCAGTCAGCAGGACAGAACCAAGTAACAGCGCAATATTTTGTATTTATTTGATGATCCACTTCTCTCAGATGTACATCATAAAATGGGAACGGCTTCCTCTATTTGAATACTTTCACTCCTGTCCATTGCTCCAGTCAACCAACTTCCTATAAAGCAAGTGTCAGGTCTTTACATCAGGGTCCTGATCACCCTGTAGCCTTGCAGAGAGGTCAAAGTTCAACAGATCTAGTGAGGCCAATTGATTTCATTGCACTGTCAACGGAACCTCATCTCAACTATTTTACGTAAATCTCTCATTTTTTCATTCATTTTCTTTTCAGCTTAGTCCCTTTATTAATCAGGTGTCACCACAGCAGAACCAACCGCCAACTTATCGAGCATAAGTTTTACACAGCACATGCCAGCGCTTACAGCAACCCAACTCTGGGAAACATTCATACACATTCTCTTACACACATACACTACGGCCAATTTAGCATATTCAATTCATCTATATTGCATGTTGTTGGATTGTGGGGGAAACCAGAGGAAACCCACACAAACAAGGGGAGAACATGCAAACTCCACATAGGAAAGCCAATTGACCCAGCCGGGAATCAAACAAGCGACCTTCTTACTGTGAGGCGATCGTGCTACCCACTGCGCCACTGTGACGCCTCCATACGGTTTTATTTGTTTTTTTTAATTATGACATTTTAAAAAAAAGAAAGCGTGCCCCTAAACTCCACCCCCAAACCCAACCGTCTTTAAGGAGATGAAAAATTCAAACTAAAATGTATGAATGAGATTATACTAATTCATACGAATCAGCCACTAAACCAAAATTTACATCAGATTGTAATCCAAAATTATACACGCCTCTCAAATAAAAGCAATACAAGCTGACCTGAAATAAATGGATATCAAAAGGCTGTTCAAAGGCTTTGGTTTAAATCTGTATGCTCAGCTTGTTTCTACTCATACACTTTCTCTGTTTAGCCCTAAAAATATCCCGTCACCAACACATTCTAACCCATAAATCCTTGTTGCATCTTTGACTAAATAAAATAACAGTAAACTGTGGAGTGGACTCACTGGGTTTGGAGCTGTAAAAGCAAAGGGTATCTTGTAAGCCGTGACAGTCAAGGTGTTGAGATTTTTGTGCAATGGCATCATAGTTAATAAAATATACACAAACAAACTCACATGCACATGACATTCAAAAGATGGACCATGCATCTGAACCCTGTGTGTGTTGCAGAGCGTGAACAGAGAGAGTGGGAATCTGTTGAATCTGCCCCTTTTAACTGTGTTCACAAAGAGATGCCAGTCTGTTCTACACGTTCTCTGTATCTATTAATAATCTTTTCGCCTATGATCTGCTGAATACCAACCAGAGGTGATATTTCACAGACGCTCACTAACATACAGTACACATTCAAACCCACTCATACACACAAAGTCATGTTGTAGTACAGGGATTCTCAACCGGTGGGTCGTGGCTCACTAGTTGGCCTCAGCGATTCTGCAGGTGGTCTGCGAGATAGCTTAAAATTAACTTAAATATTCTATTTTAATTATTAGATTTATCATTAAATATATCATATTAAAATGACCAAAGTAATGACATTTCCCATTTTCTGTGATTGATTACTTCATACTCTGTCTCACTGTTAAATACAGACATAACTGTGGCTTAAACTTCCAACTGCTGCACGCCAACTAGGACTGCATTCTCAGTTGTATAAAGCAACCTGTCACGCAAATGTAAAGGTAACAATGATTAGCGTTATAATAACCAGCCTCCGCATACTTCACATCTATGATGTCAGAGTCGCACAGGTCAGTTGATTCACAAACTATCAATAAGACTAAACAATAAATAAGACATTTATTGAATAAAAGGCTCAAATACTCTGCAATTGTAAAGACTAAAGTAAAGAATTGAGGAGCTTTGAATCTTCGTGCGTTTTAAAAACATTAAATGTATATTATTATGGTGTAGAAAAAAATTGAAGTAGAAGGCAAAATAAATGTTTTGATAACAAATAAAAATTTAAAATAAGCATTTTCTCTAGACGATCAGTTTAGTAGGTAAAGTCAGACAAGTGGGCCTTTAAAAAGTTTTCAGAGAAAAAGGTAGGCATTAAGGCAGCACGGTGGTGCAGTGGGTGGCACAATCACCTCACAGCAAGAAGGTCGATGGTTAGAGCCCCAGCTGGGTCAGCTGGCATTTCTGTGTGGAGTTTGCATGTTCTCCCTGTGTTTGTGTGGGTTTCCTCCAGGTGCTCCGTTTCCCCACAGTACAAAGACATGCGCTATAGGTGAATTAGATTAACTAAATTGGCCGTAGTGTGTATGAGTATTCTGCTGTGGTGACTCCTGATTAATAAAAGGACTAAACCGAAAAGAAAATGAATGAATGAATGAATGAATGAATGAATGAATGAGGTGGGCCTTGAAGAGAAAAAGGTTGAGAGCCCCTGCTATAGTACACTGCAGTTTTCATACATTCAGTTGCATACAAAATATTGGATATATGGGATATCAGAAAACCCTCTATTCTCACTCCATTTTATAAAGCAGAAATAGAGCTCTACTTTGACATATTTTAAATCCTGTAACCTTTTTTCAAGATAAACTGGACCATAAATTACTCTTACTCTGAATAAGCCTTTAATTTTAAAGGTTCCTTTTAATTTATGTATTTTTTTGATGGGAAATCAATTACATGAATCCTTCACCATTCAAAAGTTGCTTTGTATGGCACATGTATGATGTAGGAGTAGCATGAAGCTAAATGTTTGTCAAGAAAAAAGAAATGTTGCGCAAACCATGCAAAATGGCAAATCACCAGTTGTAAAAAGAGTCTACAAACGAAATCGGAGGTATTTTGTAATAACACCTGAATCAACATTGCCATGACATTGGCATTTTTAGAGGATTTCGGTTTGCAAATCAATGCCACATTCATCCACGCAGATCCAGAGCACAACTAAATCAATGTTCTTCCATGCAGTTTTATTGATGCACCACCAAAGGGCCATGCAGTGTAACTTTAAGTTATGACAATGAGGATTTGATGCTTACAATTAACGACACTGGTAAGACAGGCTTCCCTTCTGTGAATTTTTTTGACAGTTCATCTTTTTTATGATTCATGAATGAATAAAAAAAGATCAAAATAACAAAAAACAGAAATATAAACTCTCAATAAAGGCCTCTCGTTTACCATCTAGATCATGGTGAGGCAGAAGCCTGCTCGCCTGTTACCACAGTATCCTGGCTGAGTGCCTGGCTGGTATGATAAGGAGATAATAGGAGTGATGGAGAGAGAGATAAAGAGAGAGGGAGAGGGGGAACTGACAGTCTGCAGGCACCCAGTCCGGAAACCCAAAGCGGGCAACAGTTACCCAGCACATCCCCTTAAAGCTGAAAACATTGTGCACGTATACACTTACTCTCTTACCACACATTTTTGCTTACTGCACAAACTGGAGATAAGCGTTTGTGCGTTGGCCTCCAAGAAACTGTCAAAATCGAGATATTTATGTCATCACAGGCCTTGATTTAGCTGGAAAGTGTCTTAATGTTATGTAATCTATGATAAATGGTAGCTTTTTCATCTTAATAATGTTATATGTAGATGTGTGTTTGCCATTATTCATGTTTAGTCAGGCAGGTAAATTGTAAAGCAGGGCCTGAGGTGTCACTTACTGATGTTCAAGTGAAGTGCCATGATTCTGAATGCCAAGAATGGCCAGGAGATGGCAGCTTTGTGTTAAAAATGATCAAGAAACAGATCTCCAGTGTTTTGATTGAAGCTTGCTAAAGATGCTGATTGCCAGTAGATTCTTAATAAGCCTTGTAAAATTGAAACTAGGGAACTTCACCTAGTATTAACCTAAATTATGAGTAAATAAACAGCCAGAAATCCACGATCTGAGAGGCTAAGGATTTAAGACATCAATCTATGTGATTATTTATCTTATCCCCATCATTTATTAATATACTGTTTTTAGCTTCATTTGTGTTCATATAAATTTAGTTTTTATGTCTTTCTGTCATTATTGCAAAACCAAAACACACTGAAACAGTTATTTAATATGGTACTACACATAACTTCACTCTTGTTTATTGTCATAATCGAAAAAGCTTTAAAATCTACGGGACTTTACCATAGCACAAAAGGTTTTTTAGATTATCAAAATATTCTTTACACTAACTTTTATAATATTAAGTCACTTTTAAGGGCAGTTTACTGAAATAGTCTTTGTGGAGCTAATATATGTATAAAATAAATGGTTCTTCCCATTTATGCCATTACAAAATACCCTACTTTTAAAATAAAAATTGCTAATAATCTTGCA